CTTGATTAGGGAATTAAAATCATTTTGCTGCTTAAATACTTTTAAAACTTTTTATGAATACATCAATTTCATTGTACATATACAAATTGACCTATCTGTTCAGACAGGTTTAATGAATGCATAACTCTTCTATGACCAACTTAGAGGCAGCAAATAGAACAATACCAGTACACAGTATCAGCAAACTGGTACATACTTTTTCGCTACCCTACTGTGAAATGACATGTTAACGTTCACCTGCAAGATCCATCATTACATTAGTAAACCTACGGAAAAAGAATGTTTTTATGCGTAAGTAATGTTTACTATCTTTTTTGGATTATGCTGACGTAAACAAACAAAGATTTGTGTTTTTTGTCAACTGTTTAAATTTTAAACAAAACTGATCAACCAAAGTAAATATTAACTTTAAATTGGAGGCTTAACCCAAGAAAATGATATGAGTTTTGGGTTTGTAATGTTTCTAACTGTAATAAATAAATATCTAATGTCTGTTGAGGAAAATAATTAGTTTTTTCTGTGTAGCGAAAAGTAACGTTAAAAACACTAGTGAATGTGGGTTCGTAATATGTAAAAATAAGATTTTTCCACTATTTAAAGGGTTTGACGGGAAAATCAATATTCCACTTTTTGGGTTCGGAAGGACAAAAATGTAAATTTTAATCCAAATTCCAAACAAACAAATTCTGACCCTAACAATACTGCCAAAGGGGAGAAAATAACAAAATAAACATTTTCAATTAAATGGCAATTAATTGTCAACACAATAAAGCCATGTTTTAGCTCTATTTGGATTTGTATTAAGCTGGTTTAAGTGTGTGCACGTAATAAGTATACAATATTTTGTAAAAGGAATACAACCCTAACTTAAATAATAAATATTGATTAAAAACATAATATCCTACGAGCTAGTAGGATTTTTCTCAAAACCCTCAACTTAAAAACAGAATTTCTTAGTTCTGTAGAGAACCACACTGTGCCATAGAATGTGCAGGTTTTGCTTTGTCTGGGAGAAACAAAAAGACTTGGCACAGGTGAGCGTTCTCGGAGATAATTTACTTTATACAACTACAGCTCGCTATCTGCAAACGCTCAATATAAGCTAGTCATACTTTCCAGTTATTTCCGCTACATTAACCCCATTACTTCGTAGATCTCTATGTGTTATTTGTCCCTGTCTCATTAGGTTTGTATAGTCTCTTTAACGCCAATAATGTTATATCAAGATGGACAGTCCTATTTCAACTTGTGACAGTATACACATAAGCTTATTGGTTTCTGCTAAATAAAATCTATGAAATCGTTCATCTGCTTCTAATATTTGTATTTGATGTACTGAGCACAAATATTTACTTTACAGTCCAATATATATGTATTAAAAATTAATATCGATAAGATTTGTGAAAAGTGACATTATATGGGTATCAATTAAATTAAATCATTTCCTTCTACTTGGCTGTATCGGACATACATACAGACCTCTCTCTACATCCTACAACACTACTAACCTCTCTCGACCTTTGGGGTCACCTTTTCTCTTTATTGTAATTAATCATTGTTAATGATAATTGCAAATTTGTAACATTTTACTGATATGTGTTCTGCTGAATAAAAACTATAGCTTTATTCAACTGAGTATTAAATTTTGTCTCTAACCCAGCAATATATGGAAATAATTAATTAATTTCCTCACTTTATCGTCATTAATATGTGGAAATACTCTCATAATCGCTGCTTCTCCACTTGTAACCTCGATAAATATTGAGGGTTAAGAATCTTCCAATTGAACAAAAAACTTGGGCTTTGTATAAGCCAGCTAGCGTTTCCACCTTATATTTTGTTGTATTATAATGTTACCCAACCTAGGGTTGTTATATATATATAGGGTAATTGAATTCAAAGAACAGTTTTACAGAACCGCAACCAACCGGGAATCACACTAAGATATGATTTTACTTTAGTTTGTTTAAAGGGATATCATACGCAAAATATATTTTTTATACATTGTTTTATTTTGGTTTTTAAATTAAAGCCTGTTACTACCTGAACAAAGTTCTAAAACAATTCCCAACCTTAGAAATAATTTTTTTATGAAACCTTACTCTGTCGTTTGTCCTTACATTTGAGTAATATGTGATCTAGTAATCTCAACTTTTAAGCCAGTTTCCTCTGAAACGACTTTTGTAAATACATATGTCCCTTTTTCTCAGGAACTATAAGAGATAGAACCTTGAATTTTCACAAAATATATTTGAAGCTATTTCACAGAATCGGTACCAAATTTACTAATATACTCTACCTATGAAGATTTTTACAGCCATTTATACACACACAAATGTGAAATTTAAGGTAATTAAAAAAATTTAGACATTAAAACTTTATTGAAAGTAAATAAGTTTGGTACTAGTTTTATATAAAAGCATAAATTATGACCAAAAAATGCAGGTTGATAGCTCTAGTGTGTTTCATGTGTGTGTTCTAGAGGTTGTAGCTCTGGTGTGTGTTTTATAAGCAAATGGGACATCAAGGCTGCTAATTTTACATTGTTACCATAGGGCGTATGATGCCCTCTTAAGTTGAGGAAAAGAAAAGATATGTTGTCAGGAGTTGATATGTGCAATTGATACAGGACACAAACACTCACAGGAGGAATATAAATTGCACATATCCCAAACGACATAGAGATATAAAGTGTCAGGTGTGACAGGGGTATTATTGTGCCTCACTAGATGTTGTGTCACCCTAACAGCCTTGTGAAGAAAATATATGTTTACGAACAAATCAAATATTCCATGTTTCCTTGCACTATGTTCTGTATGTACAAATTATTGCCATAAATAATAACATTTATATGATTGACACCGTGAGCACCCTCTTATACCGAATCGAAATCTTTAGTTACTAACAGATTAAACGTAAAATGTCCGAATCTTTGTGAACAATTACTCTGCTCCAATACTTATACATAATTGAATTAGTTTTTTAATTGTAAATTTTTTGAAGGAACACCCAATTTAACAAATAATAAAAACAGTCTAAACACTAATTCATGGCGTATCTTAAACAAACGTTTCGTAGTGTTGAAGCACCTTTTTAACTTAACGAATACGTATAACTAAAGAGAATATTATTGGCCTTAATCTGTATCATGATACGATTGACTAGTTAACCGTAATATTCTTATTGTACCTTTGCGTGAGCATTGGCTGATTTTCTGCTATTTATTTTCATCACAAAGTAATGTCGTATGAGGTAGGCGTACTTGGGTTTCATCTAATGTCAAAAGATGTCTGTGCGCGTTACCGTACTGTGTTGTGTAGGCCTACTTGTCTTAACTTAGATGCCCTTGGTGTAGCTGGACTAGTGTTTAAAGCGCAGACCTCAGTCCTCGTGCCCCGGGTTCGAGCCCCACCAATTACCAATGAATTTCAGTTGCGCCACAATGGTGGTTTGCAGCCAACCGTAAGCTATGTGTTCACCCAAATAAAAAACTTTCGTGGAGAACATTCACTACATCAAAAGCTTTACCCACCAAAAGTCAAATGAAAGATTCTTCAATGTATTTAAAGCCATAAATTTCTACGATTAAATTATATTTTGATACGTGAAAAAACAAAGAACAAGGTAGAGTAGGCTGGTCAAATACTAATAGTATAATTTGAAACAGAAGACCTTATACATCACAGTGATACAGTGGGGTGGCCGTTAAAAGTGCTATATTTCTTCTTTTTTTACTATTATTAAAACGTATCAGAAGCAGAAGTTTTAAATTCATTCAAACTTACACAAATCAGTCATTAATTTTGAGAATACTTTAACAATAACTTACTGCCTTTATGTGTAAATGATGCCATTGAAATGACATTAAGAACGGTGCGATAGGACTTTTCCTTTCAACGGTTCGGTCTTTTTGGCTTTTATAGCGTAAAACCGAACAAAAATGCTCATCAATCATTCCACTCTCTAGGGAATAAATTAGGATTTCTTTTCTGCCGGTTGAAAGCAAGCTTTCCTTTGTAAATAGGTTCTTTATAGCCTATGTGTCGACATTTGTTGGGCGGAGTTATGTTAAATTTAATCCTAACTGTCTAATAAACGAAATGCCTAGAACTTTAAAACGTGAGTTTATATAAAGGAAATTTTCTTACAATTAATACAATACATCCACACATCCAATACTTAATACATTAATTTAAACTTAATATAAAATACTATAGTTACCTGTACAATCAAGTTTGAGATAATATAATTCAGTTTAATGGCGCACTTAGTCTTTTTAGATTTTTATCGGATCAGACGTTTTTTTATTCGGTAACAACCATTTATTATGAGCAAACAGGTCAATAAAGACTGGGTTCAATTTCTAACTATGAAAAACCCGCTGATATTTCTCAGGAGCGATTCAGCTATCTGCTGATTGACACTCAAGTAACACAACCACTTAGCTACAAAAAAAAACTGTTTTACCGTGTATAAGAATACATTAATCATCCAAACCCCATCTTAACGTAGGAATGTAGGGGCTAGTTGGCGAGCGATTGCAGTCACCTTGAGTTCGTGAAGCTCCTAATTCCCTCAGTAATACCTTTGCAGCACTCTCTTGATCCAAAGTCCGCAACGCTAACCACTAAGACTTAGTAGTAGTATACTGAGTAATAGCTAACCACTAAGACTTAGTAGTAGTAGACTGAGTAATAGCTATCCACTAAGACTGTAGAATACAACCCTTGTTCTACCTTAGTGTCACGTAGTGAGGACGATCTAGTTCTTCAGAATCACAATTGCGTTGTCTGCCGAAGGTGCGTTCACTTTTGAACCAAAGTTAGAGACTCTAACCAATAAGCTAAGCTTTGGACTTTTCTTGAACAGTAGTGTTAAACTGTGGTAAGAACACTCACGATTCTTTTGCATCTCAAGCAAGAGATCTTCCTACAGCAACGCTACCATCTACCCCTCCGATGAACTCAATGACGTCATTATCCAATTCTTCCTTGTTTCAGGGTCGGTCTCGGAGTCTGACACATATGGATGCTCTCGAGCCTGGAGCCGTGTTCAAAGATGACAGTGAGAGTTCCCGTCTGATCGTGCCGTCCTTGCAGGCTCGTCGCCAGAAGCTCGCGCGGTCCCAGGTGAGTTCAGTACCTCATTGAGATGTTCAGCACGTTTTAAACTACAATGTCCGTCAACTAGAAGTGTAGTGCATAGTATGAATGTGCACTACTCCTGGCAAACACCTAGCTAGCACATCTTTCACGTTTCAAATATCTTGTCAAATCCAAGGTCCCTGGTGTGTACCTTACCTTACTAAAGACCCGATGAGTCCTCAATATGCTTTTCTGTTTAATGGTTCCTGTCTTCTGAGTCTAGAAATTTTTTGCCAAGTCTACCAATATCAACTGGCTACGGCTAGTGAGCAATCAAGCAATTCATTTAATTGCAGTTGCAGCTAGTTTCGACTCCTATGTGGAGTCATCATCAGGCGGTACAAGGACTTCTTCTTTCTTCACATGAAGAGCGTCATATTTAACACGTAAAAATAAATAAACATTTACACACGACACAAAACCTGTTATATATGACGCTCTTCATGTGAAGAAAGAAGAAGTCCTTGTACCACCTGATGATGACTCCACATTGGAGTCGAAACTAGTTGCAACTGACATTGCTTGATAGCAGGTATTTAAACCTTTTTAATATTATTTGGCAATCCGGAGGCTACTATCCACAATGAAGCTAGCGAGCAAATGTTCCACGTTCCAAATATCTAGTCAAATCCATAATCCCGAGTGTATAACTTATCTTACCTTACCCTTTTTAAGCCCTCAGTAATAGGTGCTTATGACCTCAGCAATGACGTCTTTCCACTCATCTTTGTCTTCTGGGGATAAAAGTGTAAAGACTAGTTTTCTGCGCCTACTGCTCCTGGTATTTAGTTAGCGATGAAATTTCCACTCCCAGACTTAAAAAGTGTATACATTGCCTTAACTCCTTACCCATAAACACCTCGATTCGCTTCTAACCTCGCCAACAATATCACTATAAACTGTTCCATCTTCTAGGCTACATAATAAGTGTAGTGCCTAGTATACTGTTCTTGACATCCTGTTAGTCTCAATTTTTCTAATTTAGAATATAACTTAAAATATAAGTACCCCAGGTGTGTACTTAACCTTACCTCAAGAAATTGAACCCTCATCACTTTTTCCATCGACTTTTCAGTAGGAATTTGATTTTATTGCTTCTTCAGCTAAGAGCTTGATGCCAAGTATGTCGTCCTGGAAATGTAGTTTTGTTAAGAAATCCTATAAGCACTCAAGTATAAGAGGATTAACTGTGCAATATCCCACAACTGTGAAAGCATTATATGCAAAGCCTTCCACAAAGTTCTGTACCTATAAACTATTGCATCATTGAAAATATAAGTCCTCTTTGTCAGGAAAGACCGTTATTAATATTACTGCTCCACTAACTTATTCATTAAAGCTAAATCTCTGATAGTTAATGCTACCTTTGAAGTTAAAGTAATGAAGGACTGTAATACATCATACTCAAATTCTACTAAATTATTTAAAGACTTCCTAATGGTAAGAGAATGGTTGAGAGTAAAAAGTCTTTAAAACTGTATGACCCTTAACAATGGAAAATTAACCTTAAATATTAATGGGATAGCGCAAGACCGGAACCCCTTACTAAAAAACTCCAATACAGTATATTGATTGTTGTGTTGTCCCAGATGTTCATTAACATAAAAACAATAGTTCTTTTGCAGAAAAGGGGACGCGGAAAGGTCGCCCCCGGAAACATCACCCCCCTACGTCATATTGACGTCAGAGACCGGGGGGGTGATGTTTCCGGCCGCGGACATTCAATTTCAGTTGCAGCATGCAATCTTCGATATGACGAGTTATTTTAGAGTTTGCGTATTAATTATATAATTATATCCACTTATCATATACAATTACCAGATTTTCTAATTACAAATTTAGGTTAACCGGATACGTTACCCCCGATCGTTTTCAAAATGTACACCCCGGAAAGGTCCCCCCCTGCCATGATCACCCCCGGTATACCTGCTGTAGGGCTTGGGCTCGTGACTCGAGCCAGCTATTGTTCACAAGGGTGGAGACTGTCCCATATTACCACCGCTCGACTGAACTCTCGTGAATGTGAAGGATTTTAACTTCCATGAATGGGAAGGATTTTTATTACGCAAATTTTGTTGATATTAAGATAAATACAAATTAATACTTCGATATTGTGCTTTCTCTAGACATTTCCCGTTAATTTTATACATCAAATGTATAAATCTTACTATTATAAATGTGAAAGTTTGTGTGTTTGTTTGAAGTTCAATCACGCATTAACTACTGGACGGATTGGGCTGAAATTGACATAATAGCTCATATTCCCGAATAACATATATGCATATTCTTATTTCAAAAACCCTTTCGGGCTCCGCCCCAGTGGCTCTGTAGTTCTCCATATTAACCTTAGGAGTATTCATATTTAAAGGGAATTAAAGAATTTAGTCAGCTGTTACAACTAACAAAGTTGGTTCTATGATATGCAAAATCATTAAAAAGTTATAAGATTTACCAACAGGTAGCACTATTATTTTGTAATGAATAAAAACAGCTATTGAACTAAGCAGCAACGAACAACTGTGATACGCAATGAGAACTGTATAAGTAGGATTGTTTACAGTTATGTTTATGTTTTTAATTTCATGAATAATTTGTGATAATTTACAAATTTATCGTAATTTATTGTTTTCTATTGTTTAGGTGAAGCGGTAGAACATTATGGCTATCGTAGATGTGTAATACTATAGTATACCGTAAATTTAAGTATGCAAATTTTATCAAACTGTGTCCTCCCCCATTGCAAACGCAAAGCTCGAGTACAACTTTACTGCAATAGGCATTTTATACTTAAATGCCAACCCCGTACGAAGGACGGATACTCTGCTGGTTACATATAGTTTTTTTCCGTCAACGTACTAAATGTATTTGAAACACGTGGAAATGAAATAAAATGTTTATAGTAATATAAGTAAATAAGTAAGGAATCAACTCGTAATAATATGAGCATGCTTTAACCACGCAGCATCATAATACAGTACACACTTGACAAACATATTTTCACATTTCCTAATTCTTAAATTGTAAACATTGACCAATAAATGTTGTATATAATATCCATTTGAAAAGATTATTTGGATTTTATGGTTAAATAAACGTATTGAGAATATTCCTGATTTGATATTGAGGAATGACTCTTTCCCGTAAAAATAGTTTAGAAAGTAAATATTGGTTAGTTTCTTCAGAAAAAACGGAAAATAGTTCACACTGTTTACGTTTGAGTTGACGGGAAACAAGCAACAGTGTCACATTCACTTTATTTCATGATTTCACACTGCTGATTTTAAATAACTAAATTGACATTGAAGTAGTACAGTTATTCAATGAACGGTCGCCCATTGTTTTGAAAAGTTACACATTTAAATCTACCTGTAGTTCGCAGAATATTTAATACGTAGAACTTAAAAGTTTGCAAAAGAACATAATAATTCGAAGTATAGTATCCACTATTCTCAGAGTATTGATTAATAATTAAATTCGTCTGTAATTCGGAGACTATTAATTCGTAGAATACAACTATATTTATAGCGGTAAGTATTTTTTTGTAAAATAGCTTAGACTTCCCCACTTCAGGTATCCCTCCCAAGAATACCTGAGCCGTGTTTACCTGAATACGTGTGTTTGTTTAACATAGTCAAGGAAAAGTTTAGTTATAAATGTAGTTATAGTTAGGCTATTTACTAAATAATAAATCCTACTAAAATGTAGCTGGCCAATAGCTAGTATTTTTAAAGTCAGTTTCAGTCCCACCTACGGCAATAGCTACTTCCCAAATGGAAATTCACTAAAAACCTTGAATGATTGAATATAACAGCTTTTTACTACGCATATAATACACATATAATTTATAAAAATTAATCTTTCTCACAAATCTCAATACCTACAACTGGAATGGCCATTTTTGGAATGAGATTCTTTAAACAAAAGGACATTGGAGTTCGGAGTAACGTACGAAAGGATTATTGAGACTTCCTGTACACTGGTCACTCTAATAAATTCTTTCACCTTTCCAAGTACTGTTTATCAGTTTCCTTGCAGTAGTCAACACAACAATAATATTAAAAATTTGAACTCACGTATAGGTCTATATTCCACTTAGTAATAATGAAACATAATTTTGCAAACTTCAGTAGCAAAACGGCTTTCTAAATATATACATCTTATAACAAAACTAATTTATTGGTATTTCAACACTGATTGCAAGTAATCTTCTCGATATAAAGTGATTCTGATATTTTTATTATACTTTCATTAAATTTTGACTCTGTTCCAGTGATATGAATCTAGCCTAGGCTGTTTCTGGATTAAGATACTTTTTGGCATAACCTTTAGAATAGATCGTGGCCAAACCTAAAGCAATGCGATTTATTTGTAATACATTTAGAAATTATTATATCTTAAACAAATATGTTGCTTAACAATTACCATAGGGTGTAAGATGAGTTTACTGATGTTGATAAGTATAACTACTATTTTTAATGCAACAGAAAATGTATACGCATTATCGCTGGTAGTTTTTTTATGAATTGAGTATAAAATAATTATTCTTTAAAGTCAAACTATGCTCTTATTATTTAGTTGTCTTAGAAGTTTATACACATCTAAATGTACTGATTGATATTCCACCACAACGTCTGTTATTTTTTCTGTGGAAAAGTGGTTGTCCAAGCGACAGTAATAATGAACTAGCGGCCGCCCTCAGAACAATGGGCTGGGGAGGACGGGCAGCAGGTAGGCTGCCGAGCAGCCCAGCCCTACTAGGGGTAGCGTTTCAGGGGGGGACGATTCCGGGGTGTACATAGGGGATGTCTTGCCGGGGGGAACCTTTCCGTTTCTACTTGTTTGAATTAAAATTAATAACATAATTAGTTCATATCAACTAGACTTTGATAAATTACTTGTCAAGCCCTTGGGGGGTACGATTCCGGTCGCGGACATAGATTTTATACCAGCTGGTTGTCTGGTTTCGTGACGTCACGTTTAGCCTGGGGGGTAATGTTTCCGGGGGCGACCATTCCGGCGACCCGCAGAAAATATTCGCTTAGTACTACGAGCTCTTATAAGTCCGCTTATAATAAAATATATATCAAGAAATTTGTCATTTGATATCAATCAATTTAAACACCATTATTTAGAGAAAGGATTGATTTCAAACTTTCCAATATTTCAAAAACATCTTTTGGTATTTACTTAAAGTCATTCAAACACTTAATTATAATACCTATGCACTTAAAGCCTCACTTGGTATCAAATTAACATAGTAAGAAAAATCAGAACTATTTACAATACTTTGCACATTTATAACTTGTTTATTCCTTAACAATTACAATTTCACGTTTAAAAATGCTTGTTTTCCGGCCACATGTTTTTGATTCAACTAATCAAGTTTAAATCTCAGAAAAATGATTAAAACATTTTTCAAACTAATTGAAAAACGTAACCTCAAATCTGGTTCATAACCGTTTAACCTTGAATACTCGTGGTTAACCATTCAGTGTTGTTTTCAGATTCGGTCGGTAATCTTTGAGTGTTCCCGGCCCCTTTTTACCTCCCTTTAACCCTATCGCAAGATTATACAGGGTTAGGCAAAAGTCTGGAACCCCCTAGTTAATTTTTTAACGCGTTGCAGTAGGAAAACCAAACTCGGCACATATTTACAACATAAGAAATTGCACTTTTTCATCGAAGTTACAACTTTGCCCCAGTCCCCAAAACGGGATATTTTTGGGTCAGCCCCAAATTTTCAAACGTAAACACCTATAATGTGACCCCTCATTTTAAAGGGTTTATCAAAATAAATTGAATGGCGCAAACCAGTGGTCAATATCAAACCCTAATCAAAATAACAGCCATTTTAATTATTTAAGATGAGCAAGCAAGATACAGTCTGGACACCCCCAGTTAACTTTAAAAATGATATATTTTAATATTGACCAAAAGGTGAATCCTCTTTTTTTATAAAGGTATGCTGAGTTTAGTTTTCCTGCTATAACCTGTTAAACAGTTAATAGGGGATATTATTTTCAAAATGCCTGCCATTTCGATTAGGGGGGCGATATTGACCTCTAGCTTGCGTAATTTAATTTGTCTTGAGAAACCCTTTAAAATGAGGGGTCACATGATAGGTGTTCAGATTTGAAAATTTGGGGTGGCCCTAAAAATGCCCCATTTTGGGGACCGGGTATAAGTTCTAACTTAAATGAAAAAAAAAATAGCTTTTTTTAATGTTGTAAACATGTGCCGAGTTTGGTTTTCCCACTGCCACACGTTATAAAGTTAACTGGGGGTGTCAAGACTTTATCTTGATTGTTCATCTTAAATTAAAATGGCTGTTATTTTAATTAGGGGTGCGATATTGACCTCTGGTTTGCGCCATTCAATTTCTCTTAATAAACCCTTTTAAATGAGGGGTCACGTGATAGGTGTTTACATTTAACAATTTGGGGCTGTCCCCAAAATACCCCATTTTGGGGGCTGGGGCAAAGTTGTAACTTAAATGAAAAAGTGCAATATCTTATGTTGTAAATATGTGCCGAGTTTGGGTTTCAAACTGCAACGTGTTAAAAAGTAAATATGAGGGATCCAGACTTTTGCCTAACCCTGTATGTACTAGCTTTAAAATAACTATGAAACAATATATTTGTAAACAGCTGATAGGCTCAGGTATTATGACCAAAGAGCACGTTGCATATTTTTGAATTTATGGTAAAACAACGTTGAATTGTTTATACTAGCTGATTAAAATCAATGGAAGCTTCAAGGTCAACCTATAAAACCATATGATATAAAGTTGAGCTGCATTTATAAGTGACCTTGAAGCTACTATTGATTTTGCTATTGGTAGTAGACTACAACCTACTTAAATCTTACGTTATATGAAACACCCGCGACTAATTACAAAGTTTACACTAAAACATATGCAAAATATCCAATTCCCATAGTTTTTGTCGTATACAAACTTTTATATTTCTGATATCTACAGCAAACGTATAAACCGTTTTTAAATCACTCCAAATGTACTATATTTTGTTATACGAGATGAAACTATTAGCGTGTCTTATTATAGTCTATACAGTTATTTATGATCCTTATTCGACTAAAGAGTTGTTTTCGCGTGTATGGAGCTACAAAGGGCAGTCCCCTTTGATCAATACAGTTATAGACTTGAATCCACTAGGGAACTCTGATACAACAAATAAGAGAGAATCCACAATACTTCCTTGTGTATTTCCTCAATCAGGATTGCAACTGGGGTTCATCCTCCTTCTATCTAATACTACGAACAGTTATACTGTATTTATATACATGTATGGTACTAGTAAATAAATGTTTTTAATTATTTATAATTCTGTATTTAGCACTAAATAAATTTGTGTGGTATTCCATTAAATAATGTTTGGAATATACGGAATTATGCACAAGAGTAACAAAAGTAATTCGGGGTGCAGTTATGGAATGTAGGAAACATCTGAATGACAGTTTTTTTTTACTTTTTATTTTACAGAAATATTCTCATCCACACGATTTTTCCAAATTTACACACTATGTTTGAATCAATTATGTGATCGTCGTTTACCTTTTAGTTATGCGTGTATGCTTGATAAAATATGATCACAAATCGTTTCTACAGTTTCTACTCGTGAAGAAGCTACCTACGATTATTAGAGGTTGGCAAACAATATTTTAAGAAAATTTTAATTATTCTGAGAAGTTTCTTTTTTACAAACAGTGTGGGAATCAGACGACACTCTGTCTTAGTTGTTGAATTTGTGCAGAACTATACGTTTTGTTGGATTTAATATTTACTCTGATAAACACGTATTCCGTGTCCTATCAATTCTGGTGTGTTTCAGGTCTCCAGTTCTGAGTATTTCAGCGTCAGTTTTGACGTTGGTTCCAACGTTGAAGAAGACGAGTTCGTCGTCGCCTCTAAAGGAACTTCGCTAGCGTGAGTACGAACACAAAAATCGATGTACTGTAATCACAAGGTTTTAATAGGAAACTGTCATATCTATCTATCTTCTATATTAAGCGGATATTAATACGCTACATAAAAACTTGTGAACAATAAGGCTTTAATTTTTAAGATTTGACCCCACATATTATAGGCTATACCAAAATGTTGGTCTAGTCTTCAAAAACTATACAACTATTCGTTTTTTTATCTTAGTTAAGCTTTTTTCGCTATATAAATCATGGATAGCGCCAAGTTATCATTTTGAATTGCATATACTATCATAAATATGCATGCTTTATGTGATTCACATATCGCAATCAATCGCTTGAGTTTAAAACAAACACTATATATTTTGGTCAGTATATTTTACAAAGCTTAAGGTTACGAAACAGTTGGCCATTTATTTACAGATTCGAACTAATTAGTTGCAAAGTACATCGTGTTTAATAAGTTAAGTTATAAATAAACCAATGGTTATTGATGGAAATTATTTATAAATACATTGCTTTTACAAAATATAACGACTGTTTAAAAGACTGTTATATCGTTTACAGTTAGTATTGCGACTGGGGGTCGCTGATAGCGCGATATTATGTTGAAATTCACCATCGACTCGCTGTGAAGCAGATAAGGTCAAATCTCTGTCAAAACATTATCAGTGTAAATAAAACAATACAGTGTTTAAATTATTCACAGTATAGTTTACTGGATTTATCATTAATTGTTTTTGTATTTTGTACGTTCGATAAAATGAAAACTAATCGTGACGTTAGTTAATTGTTATTTGTGTCTATAAACTGTAATAAGAGTTGAAAATAATGGTACAAGTCATAATTTGTACTACTGTACTGAAAATAGAACATGATAAAAATAAATATTGTATTCTATGTGATTTCAGTTTTAAGAACTTGAATTAGGATTTAGGCAAAGGCATACCTTTTTAAACGGTTTTTAGATTTTTTGCTTGGTACGAATTATAATCTTAATTAATCTAGTGAATTTGAATAAAATAAGTATTATGAAGATTCAACATAATTTAGCAGATTTCTAATCAAATCTTAGAGGTTTTGTGAAAATTAAATCTGAGAGAATTAAGTCAAAGTGAGGTAATTTATGATTGAATCTGACATAGATTAACTTATTATAAAACTTTTTAACTGTAAAATTGCTGATTTTCTCCCAAGAAATCTTTGAACATTTCTTGAGTAAGAAAATTATAACTAGTTAAAAAAGTTAAGCTTAACTAACATTTTAGCACATTTCTCCTCTGAATTATAATATTTTGAACTGTTTAAGTATTACAAAACGCATTCGAATACAATTGATTTATTTTTAAAATAATTTTATATTTTATTAATAGAACATAAGGTAACCTTTTTTGACTCGATATAAACATAGGAATTATACTTGTCAAATGAAAGAGGGTCGAAATTATAGTTTTGCCCTTGTCGTGAACGGTATTATTTGATTTAGGTAAGAAATAAAATGCAACTTAAAGACAAATTCAAATTCATTTAAATAACGATTTGTGTATACAATGCATTCGAATAGTAAAATAACAAGAGAAAATATGTTTACAAGTAACACCCTCTACTCCAGCTGCTTTTTATTTTAAAAGTTGTATATATTTTGTTTATAAAACTTTTTTACTGCCGATCATATGTTACATTTCATCACTAGGACGTAAAGTGACTCTTTTTGTCCGTGTGATGAATAATATTGTTCGTCATATAATATAATTATAATATTATAATAAAAATTATTTATGATTGATATTATCTTATTATAATTATAAAATATAATATAGTTATGGTACTAAGCTATAACTTCTTAAAACTACTTCCAGCTCGTTTTCAATTCTGCTAATGTAAATAAGCCGCTGCTAAGTTTTGATTCAATCATTTAGTCTTTTCCGATTGTTTTACAGTGCATTACACCATCGATATGGCAAACTATTGAAAATAATACAACAATCAGCTAATAACTTACCTGTTAAATCAATTGATAATTAATATCGATCCATGCGATTGGTATGATCAAATCTTTACAACTGTTTACAACAGCTGATTTCTACTCTTTAGGGACCAAAAAGGGTTTTTACTCCCTAGGTAGTAAAAATGCTACTTTAGACCCGCAAAACATGTATTAAAGCTGTTTTTGGTTCTGTAGTATGACGAAAATAATTATTTTAATCTTGATAAATATCTAGAAACATCCATTTTTGTATTTAGAAACACAAATCTGTATTTCGCTGACACCTTTTTTACGGAATATTATCAAAAGTGAAGTGCATGAGCAATGTCTGGCAGAACTGGAAGATAAATTTGTTTTGAATGTCATTCCAAGAGAGATGGATTGTGAGTGTGAATATTTCCCCGTAATGTTGGCAGTTTACGACTTGATAACAGCTGTGACAGAGTTTATTTATGTCAGCTGTTAGTATTCATGATAAAACCCGTACCTGTGTGTCTCTTCCAGTTTTATCTCTAGTTTAAATTTTGGATATACTGTCATGACAACGCTTTTAAAGGAGTTTATCGGATAAAATTGTCAAATTGAAAATAAAATAATTTATTTAGCAAGAATTCATTTACTTGTGAAAATCTAAAAAAAAAACTCGAACATTTTTATTCTTGGAGTAAATATTATGTTATAGTAAATAAGGATAAATTTGTAACCAAATGTTAAAGTTATATTCTATTAATTATAAGTATTATATCAACTAACTACAATAGTCATATTAAGTACTGAAGAACAGAACTTTTTGCAATAGATCATAATTTAATTTTAATGTGTGGTAACACTTACTGTCTACCTAATATTATTACATTGGCTTCAGCTCCAGTAATTTATTATGACATTTTGGCTACGGCCATTAGAATAGTATTATTTAATATATACAGCTATTCTCCTTTTTAAACATCGTTATGGTGAGTTTGCTTTTTCACGGTCAGTAAACAAAATGAGGGCAACGATTGCAAAAGTTTGAAAAGTAGATTTGTACATAAAAAAGGTAATACTATGTGGAAGACAATATATATTCCCACATCCTTTACGAAAATCGTTGAATATTTGTTTATATGTTCAAAAAATATTGTCATTTGTAAGCTCCCAAACAAGGTATGAACCAAAAGTATTTTAAAAATACCCCCTTCGCAGCAAACCTGCATACTAAGCGAATTTCCATTTACCCGGCTTGATTTCTACTAAAATATTCCCTATAAATTTTCAGATTTATTTCCTATTTAAATAACATTAATTTTAGTGAGTAGTTAGGTTTGCTGCTACGGGGAAGATGTTGAGGTGTGTTTTTTCAATTGAAATATTGATAGCTTAGTATGAAATAAGCCAAATTACCAAATTTGATTAAAATATATCCATAAACAAGCAAACTAGAACAGTTTATTTATTCTCCATAAGAATAACATGGGAATTTTAAATTTCCAATTTTTTAAATTTTCTCCGTAGTCAATGAACATTAAAAAAAAAAGTTCAATATACTAAATTATTTGTTTTTTTAAGCTCTTCAAAATAGTCTACAGAGAAATTTAGAAAATTAAAGTTTTTAGGGTCAAAAATGAGAAAAACCCATTTTTACTACATAAAACCCCCCATAAACCCCTGATCCCATGGTCCGATTATGCTGGTTCGCGAACTCGTTCGAATAAATGTAGGTTTACACGTTTGTACCAAATTTCATCAAAATCGGATCAATTTTGCTCGAGTTATCGCGCTAACGGACACATATATAAATATATATATATGAATTTGAACGGATGGTGTTTTTGGCCTCTGGGGACCTCAAAACAAAAAAGTAAATCGGTCCCGGGTCTAGGTCTTACCATGAGACCTACGGTAATAGCTTATTCCCTATATGGGAAATTCGCTAATAAAGACTTTTTTAGATTGCAGAGGGTTGACATGAAGGTTTTTCTACCTTGATCGTCATAGGTTATATGTAAATGTAATTAAATATTATGTGACGAATAAGAATACCATCAGTGATGATATTCAAGTATTCAACACGTTTTAAAGCCAAATATCATCTCTAGCCAGTCACACAGGTTATTGTGGAGCTGCTTGGTGCGTTAAAATAATTGTTATTTTAACAAAACAATAATTACTGTTGTTTCAGTGAAGCACTTAACTCTGTGTGTGAAAAAAGGGGAATCGATCTCAGCAATGTCAACGTGTACCTGGACTCGTACAAGACTCCATTGCCCATCCTCACAACGGAAACATCGTGGCTGGGGGGGAAACATATCCTCATCAAGGGTGAGTACCTCGGGTGAAAAGTGACTATTGGCTTTGGATTATTTACGTATTTATTTAAAAATCCAACCAAAATAAAAAGGTATACTAACTAATTTTTGTCCCAAACCCAAAGAGTAGGATCCTAATCCTAATCCTAATCCTAATGTGAAAACGGGTGTCTTAAAATAGAGGAAAGACGTTTAGTTGATGTTAGTTTAGTCTAACGTCCTGATTATGAAACAAGAATTAAATGATTTTTATATTTATATTAGAATTATAAAATGTTATGTTTATTAAATAAATGGCTGTATTTAGTGTTGTATACGAAAACCTTGTTGAATACAAGTGATAGATTTTTCCATCATGCGTAAACATTTTAGAGAGGACAATTAATTTACTAGGGTGACTTTAAGATGACTGAAAGTAACTTCAGTATATCCTGAGGAAACGAAGGACCCAAGTTAGGTAGATAACAGCTAGGAAGTACTAAAGAAGGACAAGCAGTTCCTGGATAGAAGAGATAAGACTGGGTCAATATGCAACCACCTTATCTTTTTCTTTTCCTCTCCCCTCTCTTCTCCCAACTCAATTATCCTATATCCTGCTTTCCCTTTCAAAGCCGTTTGCGGAACTCTCCTGTGTAAATAATGTGTAAAATAATAATCATGGATAGTCTACAATTGTTTAAAGGAAATAATTTAGATTAGTGTTAGGAATTATTTAGAGTAAAATACTAAAAAAATTGGGTAGATAACGGCAAGGAAGTAATAGAGAAGGGAGAGTCATGGATAGAAGAGATAAGACTGGGTCAATATGCAAGCCTTGTCGCTTCCTGTTCCTCTACACCCCTTCTTATTATTTCAACATACTTCCTGCTTTCACTTTCAAAGCAGTTTACGAAATAGCTGTTTATAGAGCATTGCGCTGAAAACACACTTGACATTCTATACGGTTAAAAGGAAATGATTTGGAACTTTTTTAAGATTAAAGGACATTAAGCAGATAACGCAAGGAGGTACTACGTGAGGAACATGGGGAAGAGTTTCTGGGTGATAGAGATAAGGTTGGGTCAATATCAAACCTGCTTATCGCTCCCCTTCCTCTTTCCCCCTTCTTAATTATTTTTACCTATATCCTACTTTCACTTTCAAAACTGTTTGCGAAGTTTGCACTTTCAAAATTGTTGGGAGGAGTTTTGAAATTAGATAGATAATGGCGAGGAACTACTAAAGAATGAAGAGTTCTTGGATGATAGAGATAAGGTTGGGTCAATATCTAACCACCGTATCGTTTCCCCTTTCTCTTCACCCCTTTTTAATTATTTTAACCTACATTCTGCTCTATTTTTACTTTCTCCTCCTATACCATAGTATATGGAGAAAGTATTGTTTTCGTCAAAATTTTCGAGTTTGAGTTTTGAGTGGATATATTCGTTTTGGGTCCCCCTGGACCCAAAAAAGTGGTTTTCGAAGTGATGTCTGTGTGTGTGTGTGTGTGTGTGTGTGTGTCTGTGTGTCTGGATGTGTACAGAGCTAGAGACTACACCTGTGGTCTGATTTTGATGAAATTTGGTATGTAGGTTCTAATTTATGGTATCTCCAGGCGTTTTTTTCATTTTTTTGAAATTTTGATTTTTAATGGGGATTTCCCCATAAAAACCCATAAAAAACCGGAAAAATAGAATTTTCTCAAAAATGGCCCGAACGATTTTGATAAAAATTTTGTATGTTGTAGCCCTTTAAATTCTTAACAAAATGGTACAAATCCCATTTCTGTAAAAATTACGGTTCAAAAGTTATGGTAAATTATGTTATTTTCCCATAAAACCCCCATAAAATAACGAAAAATTGGGTTTTAGACAATAATCCGGTTTTGATTTAACATACTATGTCATGGTCCTTACAATTTTGATAGTTATTTTTCATTTTTTATAAATTTTGATTTTTAATAGGGATTTTCCCATAAAATAACGGAAAAAAAGGATTTTCCCAAAAATGGAAGGATTTTGATAAAAATTTAGTATTTTTTAGTCCTTTATATTCTAAACAAAATGGTACAAATCCCATTTCTGTAAAAATTATTGTTCAAAAGTTATTGTAAATTATATTATTTTCCCATAAAAACCCCATAAAATAACGGAAAATAAGATTCTCCCTAAATTGGCTCAAACGATTTTGATAAAAATTTAGTACCTATGTTATAGTCCTTTTAATTCTGAAGAAAATGGTACAAATCCCATTTCCGTATATTTACTCTCACCGCTTACACATGATAAAGGTTGTTGACAAACTTAATGGAGAAAGTATGTGTCAGAATGCTGATACCGTTTATTTAAAGCCGTTTAGAACCCTTTTAAACCAATTCGACCAACGTACTTAGAATTCTTTAACGTTACATTTTGCTGTTCTTGAGCTACAATGTGAGTGGAGTGTTAAAGAGTGAAATAAACTTGGAGCTTAACTAACCAGGATGATGGGTCGGTTGGAAATATATAGATATATTTAGATGGAATAATTCAGCTTGAGGCGTATTAAAATAATTCAGCTTGAGGCGTATTAAAATAGAGACTATATTACGTGAATCTGGACATCTTTTTCAATATTTTATGAAGAAAAATAATTCATTAACCTTAGTATTTACTTAACGTAAAAATAACTAATAAGAAGATGTTTTATTACATTGATACATTTGTTTTTATCATGAGAAAAGATGGCTTGATTACGAGAAAGATTCCGAACAAGGCAATTACTATTTGAGTAAGGAGCCATAGTTTTACTATATACGATAAATTTCAATTACAGGGCAATTAAGATAAATTACTATTACGTTATAGTAGATTTAATTAAGCTGATACTCGTTTTTATGTTTACCTTAAATTTAGATTTTCTGGATGTACGTTAATGTAATTACCCGTTAAAGAAGCCATTGTAACTTGTACAATGAGAAAACATTGTTTTGTTAATTAATTCCAAATAGAAACAAAACACCCTGTGTTTGATCTACCCTTGTCCCTTCCATTCTAGACCAGCTTGAATCCATTAGATATAGTCCCCACCTGATCAAAACCGTATTTTGTTCAATTTGTTTATTATATATTAAGTGAAAATTTCCATTTATAAATAATTTGCCTAAATTAATACTTGTTTAAGCAACAGTTTACTTTAATTTTCATAACGCCATAGTATTTAGTTTTTTTTTCTAATATCAACCCAGCAGACGCACAGGCAGCACTTGCCTATGTCCCCTGATTTTCGTATAATTATTCAATTAGGTAATTTTTATTTCAGAATCCACAAATTAACTGCTAATAATGATTTTAATCTTATAAACCTCTAAATATCTTAAAACACTACTTTCTCCAATAATGCAGCCATATAAAAAAAACCTCCCACATAGGCATTGAATATTTTGATTCAAAAGGTATTCAAGATTGAAAATTTCCATAAACAAATTGAAACATATTTATACCTATACTTACCTGGATATATCTCCGGCCGAATTTGATTGTGTAAAAGTCACACAACAGTAGAGAATTTTCAACCACTGTCAAACAGAAGTGTCAATCTCTCTGCATTTTATCGAAATACTCTCTAATACGATTTGACAGTGATAGATTGATCAACACCGTTATTCACTACAGTATAAATATTAATATTTTGACGTCCATTTTTCAAACTGATAGTCAAGCAAAACGAAATATTATAGATTTTTTTTGTATTATTGTAAAAACTCAATTTTTTGGGTTCGTTATTAATAATATATAAGTATAAGTAATAATATGTTGACGCAATTAAGACTTGATAACGTGGTTATTTAGTCATTTTCTTTCAACTAAAAATAGTTTCCTTAAGTGTGAATATTACTCCCAAAAATGTTGCTTTTTGTAAATTTTTACTCCGTGCTTCACTTAAAAATTCTATATATAGTGAAGAACTGTACAACGTCTTTTAGTCTTTGTTTCAAAAGTGCTGCATTTAGCACGCCATAATGATGTATATTAGGGGTAGCTTTATCGTTGAGTATTATACGAATTTATATAATCATGTATTTACTTTCTATTTTATTTTATGTTGATAATTTTCATATTTTGTAATATTAGTCTATATATTTTTATGTGCTCACAATGTTGAAAATACGTAAATATTTTTTATTTTAATTCAGTTTAGAACGACATTATTCTAGTCTAAATCATTTTCGTTTATAACTTAAACCCGTTTTATCTTACTTGACAAAATCTCGGGGGTTGTTTCAGGTAAAGACGACCGACCCCAGCCTACATCCCAGAGGCCAAAGACCAAAGTTTCACAAGTCTCGCACTCCAGAAAGTCTTCAGGGGTGAGTTTTAGTGTAACTTTGCCGATCAGTCTTGTTGTGGATCAGTCCTCTGTGGGGAATAAGAGGGAAAGACTCGATATGTATTATAGTGACTGAGAGAAATGTTACGTTTCAGAAGTTTGGAAAAGTGAACTTTGAATACATAGAATATTATTTCTGAAAATGATTTTGTCAGATTATTTTGTAAAAATGGTATTTAAACTAAAGGTAATAACTACCCTCAAATAATATTCATTCGATACATAGGACTAGGAGTAATTCATACATTTTGAAAGGAAATGTATGCCTAGCCTACACCTAGTCTACTCAAAGTGTTTTTCTGTAATAAATTTATAATTTGTTCATTATTCAACTACAACTTGTACACCATAAAAGATAAATAGTTCTAAGATATTTTTAAAGCTCATTCAACAAAAGCAATGTGTGTGATCAATAATAGAAATATATTTGAAAGTAGATTTTATGTGAACATTTAAATTTAATCCATATCAAAATTCCTCAGAATGTCCTTAAAGTGTTTATTACTAGTAGGTTCACGTTTCGTGCCAGATGAAGTATTAGATCAAGCAATATTTCCCGGGAGAGAGTCACTTCATTATCTTTGCTTGTTAGGAACCTGGTACATTCAGCCTTGCTTTCCTTCCTAAATTATTCCGCTGTTGTGCCTTTAGCTAGTACATCTATGTACATACACTTGGACAATATCTAATTTAACTTGTTAACCGTGGTAGAAATCATCCTTTATATTCTGGAAAGAAAAACAGATTTCTCAAGGACATTTTAACAGTGTAAAAGCGCCATATCTGGTATAGTAACCATACTATATTTCTATAAATAGTATACAAGTCTGAAGATAACATTTAAATTATTTTTACGTAAGAAAAACTGCATTGTTTGAACCTCTCGCAACTGACTGGTGACAAATTTATAAATATTCGAACGATATTCAATACTTTATAATCACCTTAAGAAGGCGTGTATCGGTATTCTCCTTTTTGGATTTTAGTCTTGCATACAGAAGAATTAAAAAAAAAAATCATCATGCAAAATGGTGTGAATATTATCCTGGCTGCCTAAATGTGTGTTTTGTATCTCTAATAACCTAATATCCATTTGAGCTACAATCATGAACCTAAGAATGGTTAATATGTATTTTAAAGTCCAAGTGCGCATTAAGTTATGCGTTTCTAGATTTTATATTTATAAAATGGCGTATTTGAAAAACTTCAACTTAATATATCTCAATCTGTTTGACTTTTCAGGGATCTGTAATTTAGAAACGTAATACATGCGTGGTCTTTTTTTTCATATCTTGAATTCAGACAAATGTTTTTATGCCTTAGATTAAGATAAATTTTAGGCTGTTACGATTTTAGCAAAAATCATATGCAAACAGATATACATAGGCCTACAACTGTTTACTTTTTGTACATGATTATGGTTTTTAATGTATTTATTTTTTTATTCATTTACGGTATAACCATTTTGTCTAGAACATGGATTCAATCCAGCAAAAACTAGGTCAAAAACTCCAAAACAAGACAAAATCTTAAAAATTGAAGCATATTCATTGTAAAGTAAAAATACCTCTTTCTGTATTAAAGGACATTTGAGTATGATTAAAGTAGTGTAACATAAAGGCCTACATTTCTACCTCCCCCTCCCTCCCCCCCCCCCAGGTTTTGTATGACCCACTGAACTGTTAAATGCCACGAAACGGTTGCTTTGTTCTTTGTTTAGTATAATGGAAGCAGTTCCGTATAGTCTTGTTTTTTAAAAGAAATTTTTATTTGGGCTAAACTCGTCAAAGAAACATCTTTTGCGCCCTATTTTTTATTTTGTTCCTTTTGGTTCTGTTTCAGTAATAAAATATGGAATTGAGTTAAAAAAATAATAACAAATATTAAAAAAAATAAATTTCTATTTTGATTACTGCAAGCTAAAGGCTAAGGCAGTACCGATTCCGGGAGGAAATGAATGCACTTTTTATGATGACAAGTCTTGTTCTTATTTACTATGCAGTGAAAATTGGAGTAGTTAAAGAGTTAATTAATACGCACACTTAAATTGCATTATGCGTATAATGTTGGTTGGTTACATCAGTAATGACTGAGGATAGGCGTGAGGAAAAGACTGGTCGAAAAAGTGATGAGGTAATCGTTCCATCATAGGAAAAACCACGAGCCATTTTTTTAGAGATCACTTGATGGGCTATATGCATAACATAAACGTACAAAGATTAAAATGTCGTATTATGATGGTGCAATATGGGAGTATAATGCAAACAGTAATGGTGTGGATCTGTGCATACTAGATATGTGTGACACTCTGGCCTCGGATTGCTCAGTCTGGGGTGGGTCGATGAATATTATACACAGAGTGTTTATCCTTGATCAATAATTCAATAATTCTTCATGAAGAGGGGCGCCACCTAGTTTTTAAACTTCCTGGGATCCAAACTAGGAAATGTTCCAAGGAAAAGGAAAATTTAAAATAATTTCGAAAAACAAAATACTGAAAGGAATGGCAGAGGCTAAACCCTATAGTTAATTAATTTAAGTCCTTGGCTAAACACACTTTTCAGTAAAATCTACCAAGTGATATTAATTACTAAAATATTACAAAAATTGTCTTGATAATATGGCTTAAGATATCTGCTTATCTTTTGCTCAGATAAGAATGTTGATGCAAAATACTCTCTCACTAATTCCAGAAGTTAAAAGTAGATAATAGGGCAAGTTCAAATAAAATATCTTAAATAAATGTGGTTTCCAAGTTTAAATTCAAAAATTCAAATAAATCTTATAAATCTAAATTCAAATTGTATTTAAATAATTCTCAAAAATACTATAACTGTTTTATCTAATCAAGATAGGGCACACACCAGGTGATCTGAATGATAACTAGAATTTTCAATCACCACAAAATTATTTAATATTGAAGTAAAGTATGATATCTCAACAACAATTAATTGCCCTTTAATATTCAATATTCAATATTTGCAAAAGTAAATCCACTGAATTATACCTAACTTGTCGGCCGACACTAACTAATAGCAATAAACATAGAATTCCCACTTAAAACTAATTAGAATAATCCCTGAAAATGTACATAAGCAATAGCAAGTTAATTTAAATCATCTAAATATATACATATAATACAAAAGAGTGAAAATGAAATTGTCCTATCTGTGGTTTGAGTGCGTTGGTTAAGTCTGCGACGGTTAGGTGGAGCACGGTACACCCACAGGTTGACGAGTGAACACCAATGTCCAGAGAAGTAGTCCAACACGGTAAGTAGATGTCCCAAAAGGTAGAACTGAACCAGAAACTCAACAGTCTAGCACCGAAGACCACATCAGGGGAGGTAGGTAGCACCAAGTAATCACTAGGGTCCAAAAATTCCCTGTGCAAAACCCATACACATACTAGTACTCAGGTCTAATAATATAGTAGTCATGTTCCTAGTTAATTTTTGCTGGTAGTACACCATGTCCCAAACATGAATAACTCAACAAATCTTCACTAAATTGAATAAAGTTCATGAATGTTATAAAGTCTCCTCATTTAGGCATATAACTTTTCACATAACCTAACCTAAAACATGATATTTACATACAATGACAAAAGTGAAATGCTAAATATATTTAAATCAGTTCAAGTGAGTTTGAGTTTAAGATATAAGTTAAATTACAAAGTCCATGAGCTATAATTCAAAATATTTATCCAAAATAATGCAATTAGTTCTTGTATGGATCCCCTTCACTACTAGAATATGATTCACTCTCTAAATTAGCACCCAAAAATGTATCATAGGTTGCTTTAATTTAAGTTTAGACTCACTAGCTGCTAATATATTCAAATAAGTTCATGTACAATCATGGAAATGATAAACTCTAATGTTAACACTTTCGACAATTAATAATAACACATCTTACCCTATTAAACAGTTACATACATACTTACACACTTTGACATACATTGGTGAGACTTTGGAACGTTTATGTAAATCTTCACAAAATAATTCACTTTGTTTTACAGTTATAAATTTGCTAAATTAATTCATCATTTTGTCAGACTCAAAATTCACTGATAACATTGAACATTTAATTTAGTTGACTTTTCATTAAAACACATAATAAAACAATATTTTGGATCAAACTATATACAGCACTATTAATAAGAAATTGCAATTGAGCATTTTAAAATGTGGAAACTTCTATAATTAATTGCTTCAAATGTGATTCAGCCATAGTGTGCTGGTCTATGTGAAAATATGGATTGAGAGTTTTATACAAATACAACAACAGCTATTTACAGGAACATGATTATTAAACATTTATATTTACAGTATACTACAACATAATCGTTAACATTTTGAATAAAGAGACAAATTAAAAGATTTTAAGTAATCAGTTACCAGCTTTCATGTTTCATCCTCAAAACAGGTTTTAGTTGGCAAAGTTTTCCACTGTTACTAAGAAATAAATTGTACTGATCAAAAATACCATATAATTTGTGAATTCTACATCAACTACAATATTTATCAGACTAAATCTCTTTAAAATTAAAGTTAACAATATTAAATAATAATTCTTAAAATATTCCAAAGCCTCTACACTGCATGTCTAGCCAAGATTTCATCATGAACAGGTTACACTGAAATATATATATTTTAAAAGTTAAATTTAATAATTCATATGATTTCAAAATCAGTTAAAAATCAAATTAAAGTATTTACAAATATTCTCACCTCTGCCAATAAATCCCTAAAGGTGGTCAGGAGGGAAAGAATGATCCAAGTAGATAGCTTGCAATTGCTGACACTTCTTCAAAGCTTGCTGACTCCAAAATGGCTAACTTTTAACTTTAAACCACATAAATGTCGTCAATTTAGTTCTGGAAACTTCCACACTGTTCTTGTTCATGTATAACTTCAGTCCAGTTTGCAGGTTTTCTGCTATGAACATGTTTCAAAGGGGGAAGGAGTGGGGCGGACAA